AACGGAAGTCAAATTGATATGTATTATTTTCTCACAAAAATCATGCTCAAAGTACTGGAAAAAATAAGCTAACCCCTGGGAATCCTCTGGTGCTGATCACATCAGTGTGGCAGACACTTGCATACAGCATTTTAACTCGAACTTCAGATGATTTTGGTGGATCTACTTGAATCTCTTCCACCTTCGGTTCCTCATCCACTCCCCAACATACCACCGCTGCATCAAAAGAAGAAACAGAAGACAAAGATGGAATTTCTCAACTGGGTTTAAGTTTAAGCCAAACTATCTTTCCTCTGATCCTTTCAAGTATGGCTGCAGCAGAACAAACAGAAAATAGACACAGAAATTACCCTTGCAGGTTATGACTTGTGGGTTGCTGCTGTTAGCCATGGACATTGTTACAGGAACTAGGCTTTGCCGCTGTATATCAAGTTCACGAGTGACTTTGAGATAAGATCAGATAAGATAATTAAAGATGGCTTACCTCCTATATAAATATAATTTTCATTTACTTTGGGAAAAGGGGAATCAGGCATCTACCCTTCGTTTTGTCGCTACATAGGGCGAAATCTTACTTTAAACATAAATTTTTTTATCTTGAATTTTAAGAGAAAAATTATTTTATATTGCACTTGGTCCGTGTGGCCTAGTGGCTAGAGCAAATGAAAAGTGCACATTCTTCTCCTTGGGCGGGTTTCGAACCCGCCCATGACAAAACCGTTAAAAAAAGAAAAGAAAAATTATTTTATATTCTAAATTATATTAAAGGTTAAAGTCTTAATTGGGTCTTTCAACTATTATTAGGACTCCCAATTTGGTTTCTAAACTTAAAATATTCTTAATTTAGTCCCTTATAATTGATATTTTGTCTTCTTTCTGATCCCTCCATTAAATTCTTCTTGACGACGGGACAAGCATGACTCGTGTTCAAAATTGTTTTTCATTTAAGATTAACAACACAAATAAGTGAGTAATGCCCCGTAACATCATTAGCTAGTTGGATCAAGTAAAGGTATACCAAAGTTAAGACTTTAGTTTTAATTTTTTAAAAATTAATTTCTTTTTTCCTAAATTTTCCCATGTTAAAAAAAAAAGTGAATGAAATAGAAAAAAAAAATCTAAAAATACAAGCCCTGCAAATTGTTTCTACAGATTTTCTTGAATGGAAACTAAAAGTAGTGCAGAGCGAATGAAGGCACATCAACACAGAAAAGAACATGTCCAAATTCAAGCAAGAGAAACATCAGAATCTACCACAAGCAAGGGGAGAAAAGCACAAGCCGTATAAAAAAACAGTTCCATATTATAAATTTGAGTATAAAATTCCATCAAACAAGGAACACAACCACTCAAAATCATTGAACCAAAACCATATATCAGAATGTTCAATAAATCTAAATAAAATCAATGTAACAAGTGAGAAATCTCATTTAGGGGAGTTTTATTCATATAACCAGCCCCTAATAAATTCAATTAATCTCCATTTTCTGTTCTGTGATTCAAGAGAAAATGCCTTAAATTGAAGCTTGAATTGATTTTCGAAGTGGTTATAAGTGTTTTCCTCCCTCCTGTTCACATCAACTAAGAAAGCAAGGAGATCGATGTACCTTGCCCCGACTAAATTGTCTTTCTATTGGTGAAGGGAATTAAAGGGAGAGAGCACTTAGAGGAGGGAAGGAGAAAGCGGAGCAAAGAGTAATTAACTTTTATGATAATGAGAGTAATTAATTTTATTTATGATAATTGTTTAAGAGTAATTAATTAAGGAATTATTAACTATTAAACTAATTGATTGAGACTCACATAGTAGAGTAAAATGTTAATATTGACCCATATTTTTGTCCATGTCATCATTTTTCATCCACTCGTTGTCTACATCATTTCCACGTCATTGTTGTTGTAAAATAAAAATAATTCTACCTTAACTAACACTTCATGTCAGCTAAAAATAAACGGAAGGACTAAAAGAAGTCAAAATTTCAATCTAAGGACTAAATTAGAAATTTTTTAAGTTTAGGGATTAAATTGGGTCCATACAATAATTAAGAACTAAATTAAGGGTTTAACCTATATTAAATTACTAAATAAAAACTCTTAAATAAAAAAAACCCTTACAAATCATGGTGTTTTAATTTTTTAATAAAAAAAAAAAAAGGCGAATCATGCAAATTATCCCCTAAATATGTCAAGAGGTGGCAAAAAAAAGCCCATTGACTGAAATCAGTAGCACAGGACTCCTTATCTTCATGAACGGTGGCAAATTAACCCTTGTTTAATTGCCATGTCAATGTTCCGTTAAAACTAATGGTTTTCTGGTTAAAATGGATTTCCACAACTTGGATGCTATGTGGCCTATTGAAGTCTGATAGGACCTCTCATATTAAATCATTAATATTTTTAAATTTTCTTAAATATTTCATTAAAATTTAATTATTGTACTTATATATATAAAAATTTAATTATTTGCAATGGAAATCAATTTGATATATTAAATCTCAATACTTTGTTAAGTAAACAAGAATAAAAAATCCTACCCACTGCAGGATAGTTTTGCAACTAAATAACATCCCTTTACACTTACGAAAATTATCTCAATTTAGAAAATTTGAGAAATTCATTGTAAATTTAAAATTCAGCCAAAAAAAAAAGTTTAAAGGAAGAGAAATTGAGAACTATAAAATTACATGAACTAATTTTTTCATATAAATTAATTAGTAAATGGTATATTAATTATACTTAGGTTAAAAAACTATTATTGAATTTATTTGTCTTTTGTTTTTTTTCGCC